ATTTCCTCCTCTTTGCTTGAAAGAATTGGAGAGATCAGTGTAATCGGCTGCTGCAGTGTTTCGCCGGATGAAAAACCTGCATGCTGTTGAAACCCTATGAATGTAAACATCTGGTGTGGAAAGTTTAAGGTGAAAGTTTCAGGAAAACTTGAAACAGAAAGGGGACACTTGAGAGAAAGTTCAAATATTAAAGCAAAAGGAAAAAAGAGAACGAAATCTTACCAGCTAGAAGTAAAAGTATTCTCATGTTGCGTCCCTCCTATGAAACAGTCTGGAACAGATGACAAAAAAGAAAGAAAATAGCAAGCAGAAACAACCAAATACAATCAGTCTGAATTTCCTGATGTGAGACTCACCTGGCAGTCTGTATTCTATCAGCTCTGTTATTTGCTGTATTAAACTGCGCGTTGCTGCCAAGCTGCTGCTTTATAAACCCTGCCTCACCTGGACGGTATGATACAGTGTGTGTCAGAGTCACACCCTTCCCCTCCACTCCCTTCTCTCCATGAATCAACACACACACACACACACACACACACACAGACACACACAGACACGCAGGCAGGCAGACAGAGAGACATAGTCAACACAAAGACACCAAGGAGCTACAAACAAGGTGTAATAAAACACTAAGAACATAAAGCTGAGCTGAAATGATTTCATACTTGTAGAACTAATTTTAAAAACCCATCAAATTCCTTGTTGTTTATGTGCAGACTGAAAAATGCCTTTATACAATCTTTCAGGGTCCTAGAGGATAATAACTTTGGTGATTCACTGACTTTTCATGCAACACCATCACCAGGTCAAAATGTGAATATGTCCAATACTTTGGTTTGTGACCAAATACCTGCAGAACTAATGACATTCCCATCAGCTCCAGTTGTACTTCTTGTCAACTGCTAATTTGCCAATGTTAGCATGCTAACGCAGTGAACTAAGATGGTGAACATGGTAAACATTTTAGCGTGCTAATGTTAGCGTTTAGCTCAAAGGACACCGTTGTGTCCAAGTAGCTACATATTGCTAGCATGTTCAAAATAAATGAAGTAGCCTATACTCAAAGCAGTAGAGTTGAAAGTATGCACACCAAAAGAAGTTGATTTTTGAGTGTGCTGTTGATGCACACTGAAACTGACAAAATGAAGTACTCATAAATCAGAAATACAAATTGCTCAGTTTAAGAGAGTGGGGTTGATGGAGGCTGTTGTCCCACGATGCAATGCACAATGGAAATGGGGGGATGGGCTGATAGAATGTGATGCCAAGCACCACACACCTTGTATCATTCATACAGAATATCAAAGTACATTAATTTATTGTGTACTTACTGCCAAAACTGTCAATATTTGTAGTGTGTGTTAGTGCCAATGTGTAGGCTTACTACAGAACGTGATCCGGCTGTGTGGATGTTTGTTGAGAGTGAAATTCCTTAAATGCTAGAATTTTGAACTAGTATGTCTCGACAAAGTCAAACCACGTCAAAGATATGATGTCGAAGTATTGATCTGTAAGAATTTACTTATTTGTCTTTTACAAAAATGTATATCATTAAACTGTTAAGACACTGGTTCGTGGTCTTTTCCATTCAGAAAACATTACAAGTCTCGGAGCGGGGAGGGACACGGTCACACAGAGAAGGCCACTCCTCCCTCCCCAGACACAATTCATGCCCTGTAGGCATTGTTTAAGCTTTACCAGGTTGTGTGGTAACCGTGTTGTGTGCTGGAGCGCCGCTGATCATCACCTGTGTCTACAGAAACAGTAGCCCCGGGGCCAGCTGTACACGCATGTATGTTTTTCTCCGTTCTCCTCAGACATACTGACTAAGTCCAAGTACAGGGTGTGTCTTCTGACTCGACTTACACAAACACGCTCAGAGGCTACTGTGCACATACAGTTTCAGACAAGTACTGTCACGCCTTCAATCACTGGGGATAGTAGTTGTAGCTGTGATTTATTTCTTGGTAACAGCTTGGTGTTTCCTCTCCGTCAGCACTGGCCCCTTGGTTACAGTGAAATGGAGCAGCGGCTGCTTTATGGAAGTTATTGGTATCATAAGGTGATAAACATCAATGCAGAGCAGATAAGCAAGAAGCACCTAAGACAGTGGGAAAAAGAAGCTGGTCTAAACACAATCACATAATACCTTTTGTGTGCTTGAACATGTATCTGTAAACGTAAAAAAATCCCCAAAGAAGTTAGATCTAGTCACTACTTTGATTTGTCCCACACACAAGTGTGAGTAATACTGATGATTACAATGATGGATCCATTTAATTTAGGTGTGCCAGTAAGTCATCCCTGTGACCAGCATCCACAGAAGCAGGGCTCTGAGAGGTGAAATATCTGTTATTACTTACATCTGTGTCAATCTGCAATGAAAATAGTCTATTATAGATTAGAAGATATTTGATTGACCCACTAAACTAAAAGGCTCGGTCTAGAAAGGACTGAAAAGTTTAAGTTTAAAAGTTCATTTTCATTGCCAGTTCAGAACAGAAACTGGCAGGTTTGTCTTAATTTTGAATTATTTTAATAACGATCAAACAATAACACCTTCCTGTTTGTGTTTTAATAAAAATGTGAAGGTCATGTAATCACTTACTGTCTGCTCTTCGTGGTGCCATCACGTCTCTGCACTTCCTGTGCTGCTCCATGTTAGTCAGCAACATGCTCTGTGTGCTATTCTGTGTGGTTCCACTCTGACCACAGGTCACAGCAGCAGCAGCAGAAAGGATGCCGGGGGACTGGGTTTACACAAATTTTCCCCTGATTTGGTGAATCTTAATGTTGAAGATTCACATGGACTCCCATGTCACCTAGGGAGACAACTGACAACAAACAACTGAGGAACATTATGTGTTCATTCCTGTTTCTTTCTTTAGTTTTTTGATATAATCTTCCCCCATGACTGAATAGAGACCTTTTCTAGTGTCCATCATGTGCCATTGTTTGTAGTAGTCCTTTAAACATAATCTGAAAAGCATGAATCAATGACTTAGTTTTACTTCTCTGAGGCAAAAATAATGTCAGCTGGGAACTTTGATACTATGGATAAAAGGTTATGGAACCTTTTGGGCTAACACTATAATGAGCTGTGTTCAGGCAAAACTGAGAGGCTTGGCTTATGTTGTTAAACAAGAAACATTATAGGAGATAAAATGTGTTGATTATGGCAGCTCAGCGCTCTCCAACTTATTTAAAACTCATGCAAATAGACAAAACACAAGTTAATATAAGAAAACAGCTTCACCAAACAGCATGCTGCAACTAAATAGAACATTAACAAAGGAAAGCATTCAAACATTAACATATTGACAGCACAAATGAAGCCTATAGTTGCTCCAAGTCGTACAGGGCACAATGTAAATTACCGGAGGACACAAAAAAATACTCGTCAGAGATGTTCGGAAATTAGATAATATTGTTTTCTACCAGCGACGCTGGTATTGTTTTTACCTTGTTTGTCAGTGTGTGTGTCTCATCATGGCAACATGTGTTCCTGGAGACACCTATGGCAGGAACAACCGCAGAAGAGGTTTCGAGTACTTCGCCAGGTATTCAAATTTCTTGTCGCTGCCATGGTTTCGCAACCGTAAAAGATGCATACACAAAACTCTACAGATGCGTAGTTCTCATTAATTTTAGTGTCCTATCCTACAGTGTCTTATTTTTTTCTAAGTGAATGTTTGTGGAAATATTTCTTTATTTTGCTTGTTTCTTAACAATTCTCAACATTTGGGTATGATGCTGTCTATAGTATGGCACAGTACTGTACATTTGGTATGGTACCAATAAGACCTCATCTACTTCAGAGAGGCTACAATACACACACACATACATTCTGAGAATGTTACTGTGACACTTTCAAAGTACAGCAGTCACTGTAAACTCACGTTTGAACACAACAGATGCTCTGATAGAATATAAGAAGGAATATTAGTGACAGTGCAATAAGTGTAATAAGCCTATACTTGACTGGGTGAAAGTTTCTGGCTCAGAGATCCTCCGTGCTTCATGAATATTCAGCAGCTGTCACTGTGTGGGTGGAGAGAGTGGGGCTATAAATAATCGCAGTATCCAGCAAAGGTGTGTTCTTGCCACAAACTGGAGCTCATGAGTAGGATCAACCTGTGACTGGAACAAACTACAAAGTACATCACAGTAAGTCCTTTTGAAATATCAGCAGTTAAAGTGTTTAAGCCAAATGCCGTAATGGGATATTAGACTATTACATGAGTGTATTTTCAAAAAGCAGTTTATTCTTGCCTAACTTGTGTTGAGTTGATACCTGGTCTAATGGCTGCAGAGTTCCCAAAACCCAAAGCATTGTGTTAAATTGTAGTTTTTTCAACACAGTTTGAATAGCCAAAGGTATTACATTTACAATGATTGTGAAAAATAGTATATCTGCACATCTGAAACCATCTCATGTTCATTTTTAACAGGTCTTCATACAACTTTCATCAGTGCGTCTTGGCCATTGGAAATGGAAAGCATGCAGGAGTTGATTCCCTTCGCCAAAGAGATGCTGAGTCAGAAACCAAGCTGTGGTTTGCTGAAGGTCTACCTGGTGGGTTCGGTGTTTGCAGTGTTGGGGACGCTAATTAGCCTGGTCGAGACGGTGTGTCACCCTTTCTCCTCTGGTGAAGCCATGGACGCAGACATGGTCCTCATGTTTGCTCAGGAGCAGAAAATTGTTGAGGCCGAGATACAGAGCGATGTAGGGGGTCAGGAAGAGGAAGAGGAGGAGGAGAAGCTGACTCGTGAAAAAGTGGCCGTGATCATGAGCACCAACCTCCACAAGACCCATAAACTCAGCCAGCGGAGCATGGCCAACCGGCTGCACGCTTCCTAAAGCCAAAGGGGTCAGCACCTAGTGACTTGAGATATTTATCAGGGAACTGCTCCTGCCACACCACCAACTTGTGCAACACGTACATAATCTGAAGCTCTAGAGACAGAAGTGTCTGAGCTGCCTGCCATTCTGTGCTGCTTGTTATTCTGTGCTGCTTGTTATTGACGCCTACAATAATTGACGCCTGCACATAAAAGACCCCCGAAGGCTCCAGTAGCAGCCTACATGGGAGAGTTAATACTTTTGACAGGCCTCATGTCAATAATACTATATATAGTATAAAAGAAGTGTACATTCACTCAGTTAGACAGGGATTGGGATCCTCCGATTGGATCCCTGTGTCTTCAGCAATTGTAAGAATTGTTCAATGTCACAATAAGTTTACTTGAAAAACAGTAATTTCTCTCTTATTCATCCCTTGAGTAATGTTTCTTTACTGAATGTTGGTGTGGATATGAATCTAATCAGGGTTACAAGATATGAAAACCTCAAATGATCCTTGAAATATATGTGTGCTACAAAAAAAAAACTTTTTTTATTCTGCTGCTGGAACACAGACTTTGGTTTCTGCGAAAAAAGGAAAACACCAGACAAAAAAAACCCTTATCAGGTCCCTTTTTAATGTTTTACAATCCAAAGTTGGGAGGCTGAAGTTAGGAGTTTATGAGCAGCACCTGAAGGCAGCGGTGTTGACGGTCTGCCTGGCTGCGGTAAGCTGCTGTGTAGCGCCGCCTGTCGTCTGGTGGATGTATCTGATTTGCCAATCCACCCACTCACTGTGTTCAAGGACAGCAGCGTTATGTTATGTGTATAAACTGTAAATATACAATCTTTTTCATACCAATAAAGTTGATTTTATTTATAAAGTCTGCTTTCCCTCTGGTTTGACTCTCTCAAACATTTGCTGCACATTTTGTTCACCAACAAACTAGGATTTAGCACAAATGGATTTATGCTTGTCAAGACAAATAAGATCACTTCAGAAATATCGGTCTTATGTATTTTTATAACCTTATTGAGTTTGAACAATCTTTTAATGGAGAGTGAGATAGAGTTTAATTACAAATTAACAGTCCACACAGGCTCACAGCTGTAGCATTTTATCCTTAACATTTCACTTCAGCATAGTTTGTCCTCACAGTCAGTCTCCTAAATGAAAACCATCAACTGAAGTTTAAAAGAATGAGCAATAAGTAAAACTTGTGCCCCAAATACATCAATTGTGACCTCCTGTTGAGGACCAAGCTGGTACAGCTAAGTATGGTTAAAGTCTAAAAATCAGTGCTGGGCAAGTTAACGAGTTAATTTCGCGTTAACGCATTCATTAATTAACGCCGACAATTATTTTATCGTGTGTTAACGCATTTTTTAAATTTATTATTATTATTATTTTTTTATTTTTATTGAAAGACAAGAGACAATACATAGACATAACAACAAGAAGATGACAAGAACAGTGGGATAAAAGCCAGCAAACATCCTATAGTCAGTTGTGTATGTATGCGTGTGCGTGTGTGTGTGTGTGTGTGCGTGTGTGTGTGAACGTGTGTGTGTATGTCCTTGAGCCTTTTGAGATGGGAAAAAAAAATAATAATAATAATAATAAAACAACAACAAAAAACACAAAAAAAAAAATAGGTAAGTATTTTTAATTTATTATTATTGTAACAGATGTCTCATGTTTATCATTTTGTATTGGAGATATGATGTCCCTTCAGGGTTACCGTAGAGAAAAGGCGACTTCCGCTTCTGGTCGAGGGGGGTGGGGGGGCAGAAATAAAGAGAGAAGCTGCACCAGCTGTTGCTCTCCCTGGAGACTACTGGACATCGCTGCAGTAAAGTCAGCAGACACTTAGATCTCCATGGTCAACTCAGCAGACACTTACATTTTAGTGCACCTATATGCTGAAATTCACGGTAAACGCATTTAAACGGCACAGATCGGGAGCGAGCGAAGGACTTTGAAAGTTAGCGGAAACATTAACGTGAGACAACATTTGGTTTCTTCAGACGAACATCCGGTTTTCAGAATAAGATGCCAACAAAGTATGAATTATATTCACATTAATTATAAAACATGCTACCTGCATCTCTTGAACCAAATGTTATTGCACTTTTGTTCATATAGCAGTACTTTTAAAATAAAAGTGCGCAATACACTACTTTTGAATTCATTATTGAACTTTGCCATAACAATGCGATTAATCGCGATTAATCGCAAAAAATCCATGCGATTAATCGCGATTAAATATTTTAATCGTTGCCCAGCACTACTAAAAATACAAAGCTGTGTCATGTAGGAACTATGGTTGAAAGAAAATAAGTTCCTATATGGAACCACTCACAACAAGGCCTGTGGATTATCTTGAGCAACAGTCATGATTTCAGGAAAGAGATGTTGCTGTTGAGTTTTTCAAATGTATTTTTTTGTGACACTACAAGCTGAGTGCCATAAAGTCCCATTATACTGGAAAGAAGGCAGACGTCTCTAAAGCCGATATCTCCTAAACTAGAATTAAATCAATCCATATTGGTAAATAGCACTACAGGTAAGAGGTAAAATAATGTACTTTTAATTTTGGGGTAAACTATCCCTTTAACTATCCCTAAGATGCCCTTTTGACGGTTTGCCCTGAAACCCCGGTGATTTGATGGCGCCTGCAGGTTTTGTAGGGATACAGGATGGTTCAGCTCCGTCACCAACAGATCCAGCAGCATGGTTCACTGATATAGCACAGCCAACAAAGGGACAATGCTGCCTGACACGTGCACAGTCTGCACACACATGAGTGGGTGGTCAATATAACCCTGAGTCAACATGATACTCTTTGGTCTTAGAATAGCTTGAGTGATGGCCTACGTCAGGGCTGAAACTCATGACCCTCAAATCTCTGAACACAGTTGACCTAAACTGACTGTCAGTCCTCTATACAGTTGATATAACTGTGTGTGAATCACCTTCAAAGCAGTGATATAATGTAAATGGTGAATAGTTCAAGGTGCATCAGGACCAGAATTCTAGTTGAAAACATTCAAAATATGAGCTAATGTTATCAGCAGAATGTGAAGAAGTTAGAGTGTTGACGTTATGTCAAAAATGTCTATGTATTGTGTTGCAGAGATATCTACTGAAATGAGCATGCTAACCAGCTAGCCCCGGCCCGTCCTGTCTTGCAATACAACTTGAGTCTTGCAGTACAACTTGAGTCTTGCAGTACCTGGAGAGGCAAAAGTGAGTTACTGGAGTCAGGATATATCCAGCCTGCTGTGACTCCTGGTGCTGGGGTTTGTGCTGGCTGAATTCTAGTTGCCGCAGCCGCTGGCATCCGTGTCCCAGAGCTGCCAACCGCTCTCCTCCTGGTGGAGTGGTCTCCTGGCTGCGGCAGGGACCAGATGAAGGTGCAAGTGGTTTTGTCGTTTCTGTCGCTTTGGATTTAATACAATAAATAAACTTGCAATGCATACACATTATACATAAAGAATGTTATCATGGCAATGCTCATTTCAATTTCTATTAAAATGATAAATAATTTTATTTCTTATCATTTTGTCTGTCATGTATATTCACAGGTATAAACCAGATGATATAAAATGTATTTTGAGATTTAAACAGTATCAGAAATAAGCAAATTAAAAATATTTCTTCTCTAATTAAACCAAATAATTAGTTAAATATATAACATACACAAAATAAATAAAAAATAAATAAATAAATATGTATGTACAAAATAAAAGAGACATAAAATAAAAGATAAGATTAATTTAATTTAAAAAAGGGAACATTTCATGTTAACCCTCACTCTAGTAGCTTTGGAGAACAGTCATATAACTGAACTCGACTACAAATTAAATGGTGAATGCTTTAATGATTAAGGCAAAGGCAGACTAACACAGGCAGCATTTACGGGCTTCATTGTGGTCTGTTAAGGAACAATTACAGTTGTTTAGCCTGTTAAGGTTTCTTCTCTTACAACTCAGTTTGACAGAATTTAGGGTTCTCTTTACTAGTGCACATTTGTGACAAGTTCATCACATAGATTGATGAGACTATGCAGGTGGTCAAAGTCTGTTTAAGTCTATTTGGCAAATGAAAAACAGTTTTTCTGCAGAGTTGAAGTGCTTTTACTGTCTGCTTAAAAAAGGTCAAAAATCCTATTCTGACATTAATGCCGCTACAGAAAGGTTGAATTCTGTCAATACGTTTGACAAAATTATGAACCCTCCAGCTACACACCGTACTAATTTAACTAGGGGTCAAAAGGTGAATTGCAGAAAGCAGTGGCGGCCCATGCATTTTATACCTGGGCCTTCACTGCTGTCCTGCAGCTGAAACACCTCATTATAGATAGATAGATCGATATATATATATATATACTTTATTCATCCTCAGGGGGAAATTTGTATGTTACAGCAGAATGACATACAAAGTAAGCAAGGTAACAGAGTAACCGAAAATATTAAGTATTAAAAAAAAGAAAAATGCACAATATATACAATGAAATAGAATAGTGTTAAATTAACTAACTAGGTAAAAAACAGTAGTGCAAAAATCAACCACCAGCAAATAACAGTGTAGCAGTGTGTAGTTATGTGGAGGATGATCTGGCCAGAGGTGATTTGTTATAAAGTGTTATTGCAGTGGGCAGGAATGTTCTCCTGTATCTTTCCTTGTGACAGCGGAGCTGGATCAGTCTGTTGGAGAAAGTGCGCCGCTGTCCCTGCAGTAGATGGTGGAGAGGGTGATCCGGGTTATCCAATATGGATAATAATATTGTGATATTATGATGTCATTATTTGTTTTGTGTAAAAATGAAGCTCAACACCTATAAATACATTAACTGCAGAGTGCAGATACATGAATACGCCGAGAGTGTGTCTCCTCTCTTCTCTGACTGCAGCTGGGACTGCTGCGCACTCCTGTGAGAGTGACCGCCTGTGAGTGCTTTGGGGCGGCTCACGGCAGCACCCGCTGCTCGTTCACGACAGTAACTGCAGAACGGTACGTGCTTTCACGTCAGAGTCAAAACACCAGAAAAGTCTCCAACACCAGAAAAAGTCGCTAGATGTGTCGCTAGTAGCTTTTGACAAAAAAAGTCGCCAAGAGGGTTTGGAAAGTCACCAGATTTAGCGAGAAAGTCGCCAAGTTGGCAACACTGGCACCGACTAAATGTGTCCCCAGAGCAACATAGGACGTAACAATAGTTCCTATCACATATAAAACCAAACAAAAATCCATCTTCATAAAAACAAGTTGTACAAATAATATATAAACAAGCATATTAAAGCTACTGCAGATGTAAAAACAAAAGCAGTTCACTTACCAAAGCTGCTGTTCACTATTTAAAGACAAAGTCCATCCTCCTTTCTTTGTTAACAAAGAGTTTAATACCACGGATGTTCAGTACATCCGTGCGTTTTAGTTCCAGTAAGAAGTCCTTCTCGATTCATGGACGCCAGTGAAGACAGTCGAGCCTCCCCAGTTGTATTTCTTGAATACGTTTTAATGCGTTTGAGGGCTGAAAATGTCTGCTCGACAGAGGCAGCAGATATTGTGATTGTCACCGCCCAACATGTCACGCTAGTCCACTGACCAATCACGTATGGCTAGGCCAGCTAGAAGGCTCTGATATGTCAAAAAATACACCCAATATGTCAAACTAAAGATCTGATTGGTTGAAGACTATGACAATCAACAATATCGTCCCCATTCACTTAACCTTTGGGTACCGAGCGAGGACCATTTGCGGTTCCAGCGAGAAAGTTTAGTGAAGAGTGTTGTAGAAAACACAATCCAAATCCATTCCACACAACTAATATAATCAACTAGAAGATGTACCACAATATCACGTATTTTTCACCATGACTCGGCGAGCTACG